CGGTACAGGGTTGAGGAAAAATTCAGAAACTCGAATTAAATTTCGGTGGACTTGGGCAAAAACGTTAAACAACCCAAAACCTGAAACCCAAATTATATATATAGATATATAAAAAATATTAAATATACATATCAATTATTAGCCATTACATGATATTTAAAGTAATTTAGATTATTAAATCATATTGAATATATATTATATTTACAAATACCATAAAATCTTACTTTTTTTTTATTTTTTATTTTCACTCATAACTTGTAAAGACTACTATAACGGCATCTCTCTTACATTATATAGATTATCTGTTTTGATGGTATTAATGATTTTCTAAAAAACTATAACGGCATCTCTCTTACATTATATAGATTATCTGTTTTGATGGTATTAATGATTTTCTAAAAAAAAAAAAATGTAAATAGAGTCACATTTTAATAATTTAATAATGTAGCTGGAAAAAAAAAAAAAACTGAAATTCATTTACAATTCGGGCAACTCTTGGGTTGGGCTTGGGCGAGCAACCTCGTATTACAATTTAGGTTTGAGCGGGCCTGAGTAGGTCTCAGTACAACTTGGACTGGGTTTGGATAACCTCCCAATCTGACCAAACTCGCCTGAGTTACACCCTTACTTCATATCCAACAACCTTATTTTGCTTAAAATCCATCATTCTTATATTCTATTTCATATTGAAATCAATAATGGACCATAAAGGAGATGTTTCCAAACAGTTTTCTATAGATAAATTAAGTTTTTATTTGATATTTATCGTTTTTCGTTGTTTGGTTTATGGAATTGATTCAGAAATTCAGTACCGAACAAATTATGTTTATTTAGAAACTTATTTCCAAACAAAATTCATATATTCGGCAGTGTATTTCCAAAATAATTGTGATTATTCAGTATTTAATATCTAAACAAATTGTCTATGTTTGACTCTATTCTTCCAAACATTTAATTTTCTAAACTTCTTCACACTCCAATTTCGAATAAAAAAATTTATTTGGTATTATATTCGGTATTGAGTATTCGAAGAAACTTTATATGTTCGGAATTAAATTATCTAGAGATATATAATTTGTTTAGCACTAAATATCCAAATGAAAATAGTACAACCGATTTTCTATTATTCGAAATTGAGTATTTAGACTTGGGTATAGAAAGTAGAATTTTTAAGATTTTTTTTAAATTTTTTTTTAGGGTTATAATATATATTATTTGGGGTGTCCAAACAAACAAATAAATATTTTTTGGGTGTTCCAAATAATGGGGTATTTAACCTAATTTTTGGAATGCATTTAGCTTTCTTTTGTGAAGTGGGATTGACTTTTTGACTTTTTTGACTATTTTAGTCTAGGATTAAAAAGCCTGATTTGGAAAGACTTTTTGGTTTTTTTGACTTTTTTGTGAGAGAAAGAATGTAATGATTATGGATTGGATGTGATGTTTGTCTTATTGAGCTAAAAAGTCTATTTTATTTTTTATAACTATTTTAGCTCCAAAACCACCCAAACTAGGGGTGAGCAGCGGATATACCGATCCGCCAAAACTGACTGAACCGAAGTGATTTGCCGCATTTTGGACGGATGCGTGATGACGAGCGGACAGTTGTGGATTGATTTTCTCCAATCCGCCAATCTGACGGACGGATGACGGATTTGAGATTCTTTTGGCCGCAACCGAACCGCCAAATCGCGAACACCCCTAGTAATTTATAAGACTTTGTGTTTTCAGTTTGTTTAAATATTCTGTTTGTGTTTTCAATTAAAAAAGAATATAAATATTCTGTTGAAAATAAGTTTTCAACTTGAATATCTTTTTTGAATTGAAAAAAATAAACGTATTATTTATCTATATATTTTGGTTTTTAAATCTATCTCTAAAAATAATAAATAGAAAATATGATATATGTTGGTTGGTTTTTATTTTCACAAACAGATATAGATGTAACAATACAGAGACATACAATCTCTACTACTGCTCTGTTCATGGTTTTGGTGGTTTGAATTGTTTTTATATTTTAAGAACCACAAATTATAATACTTTAGGTGGATGAGGCATATTGTGATTACAGTATGTGGATGAGGCATGCAGTGAATGTGATATTCTAAAGTTTCAAACTTTTTTGCTTTGGATGAGACATGCAGTGATTGTAATATTTTTTTAAGTCGTTGACTGTAATACCTTCTTCATTTTTTTGAGGAAGTACATAAGTTGAATTATATTGAAAATTTATAAAATTTTAAACCGCCAAACCGATTTGCATCTATCCGCCAAACTGTCAATCTACTTAATCCACATCTGCCGGATTGACGGACAGATGCAGATTGATTTTCTCTAATCCACCAATCTGACAAACGGATGGCGGATTAAAAGTTCCGTAGCCTCAACCGACCCCTACCCACCCCTGACCCAAACCATTTTTTCAAAAAACACCTTAGAGTTATCCTAGAATTTTACTCCCTCTTTTTTCAACAATGCTATAAATTCACATTTTACACACATAAATACATTCATAATGATATAATAAAGATGGTAAATTCTATATTATTGAACATGTAACTATTAAAAAATCGACATTAATCAAATCAAATAATTATTAGTTGAATTGTGGGGCTTGATTAACGGGATCTCAAACATTTTTCCTTTTTTTTTTAGTTATTTATTTTTAAATAGGAAATAAAATGACTTTTATGCCCTAATTTTGATAATTTATTTCCAAACCCTACAAACCCTTACTCTCCCTGACCATTGTCGTCGCCTTCTCCTCTCTTCGACGATCACCGTCGCCTCTTCTCCCCTCTCCAACCACCGTCTCCGCCGCCCATTTTCTTTCCATTGCCGTCTTCTCTCTTTTGCTCGATTACTTCTTTGCTGTACTGCTTCGTCTCCCTCGATTGCGCGCTTCATTGCTGTAAACGTGTTTTACTTATTCGTTAATTCAATACTGTAAAATGTGTTTGATTCCTTGGTTATTGTAGGTGTGTTTACACATTATAATGTTTGATTGTTTTGTCTCCTTACCTCCATTTCAGATTGTGTTTTTTTTTACAGTGTATGTATGCATGTATCTGTAAAATATAATTAAATGAAAATTATGTTAAAAAAGTTTGAAGTTAAGTATAAATATTAAGGATTTATGGTTAATTTGTGATGTAATTGAATTAATTTTTTATGTATATATAGGGGATGAATGTTGTTTAAGTTAGAAACTATGTATATAATAATTGAATACAGAAAGAACAAAAGAAAAGCAAAATATGAGGCACAAAGTCAGAAAGGTATTAAAGTTATTTTGCAATTACCGTTAATGGAGTTAGGGTTTCATATTAATCCAAAATCACAGGGATTTGCCTATATTTGAAATATAAGGGGGTAAAGTGCTCCATGGCTACACCAAAGAAGGTTAAAGTGATTTTTGCCTAAAAATGTTTTCTAGCCAAACAAATGGAGCGTTTGAATTTTTGTTAAGAATTTTACCATAAAATAATATATAATACAAAATCAATTCTTGTATGATGAGCGTCATATCTAGAATGAATCTAAACTACACATTTATTTTTTTGAATAAAATTCTTAATACAAATTGTTTGGTTTGTAAAGTGCACATCCACTCAACCATGATAGTGACTTGTAAAAGCACCAAAGTAGATGACGTTGCCTATGATGGACTAGAAAAATCTTTCTCCGTGTTTGTTAGGAGATTTGAGAAGAGATTTAGAAATAGAAAGGGAAAGGGAAAGGAAAAGAGAAAGGGAAAAAGTGTATAAAATTAAGTGAAATGTAGGTATATTTCATCTACTTTTTCATTTTTTCTTTCCAAATCCCCCAACCAAACACAACGTTAAGAGAGAAGTTAATGATCACTATATAATTTCTTCAATTAAGCTCTCAAGACATTTATCTATAGAAGGAACATCACAAATGCACTTGTAGGGTCTCTTAATCAAGAAACACCAATTAAAATGGTTCTGAAACCATAATTCTCTGGTACTATAAGTTAAACAATTAACACCAATAAACTTTCTTTGGTGCTGATTTAAATGATTACAGGCGTGCTAGTGCTCAAGACTTCTTGTCTTGTGTTAATATTGGGGCCTTATCTCTGATTTGCCAAGACCCATAAAACAAAAAAATGGAAAAATTATAGGTCTGGTTGATCAGAAAGAGATATTTATTATTATCTCTGTCTTGTTTTTTTTTTTTTTTTTTTTTTTTTATTTTTTTTTTAATTTCTTTTGTTGTTGTTGTTTTTGTCTTGTTTTTATTTTTTATTTCTTTTGTTGTTGTTGTTTTTGTTGTTAGACAAACTCAAGAGTTTAGTACGTCACTACTCGAATAGACTTTTTGTGATGGCGCCATGCCATTGCAAATAATTTTTTTTGGGTGGCAAATATATATATATATATATATATATATATATATTTGCAAAGGCGATGAACAAGAGATATGAATATGGAGGTCACAAAAGATATTTGCAATGGCGTGCTTGCCGTTATTATTATATGTTGTATGAGACCAAAAGAGAAGAAATGGCAAGATAAATTGTGTATATCAATGGAGTTTGTGATGATGGGACACCCCCCTAATATTTGGAATTTTTGTGATGGCATATGTAATGCATTCGAAAATTCCATTTTTTTTTCATGCATTTTGTAGACTACAATTAATGTCAAAGTTACTTATACCCTAAAACCACTTTTACCTCCTTTGAGCGGTACATCATAGGATGCACTAGCATAAAAACTGAAATGCATATGTTGACAAATAGGAGAAAAGAATAATGCTATACAAATAAAAATTTTATAAATAATTTTCACGTGACACATTAGGATTCTTTTGTTTCATAACAGAACACTTATTGTTGTGGTTCACAATACAACATATGTCATTGCCACGTCATTTTGGATGTGTTTTTTTTTTATATAAATTCTGTTTTTATATCATTTTCCATAAAAGAATTGGTTGATTTGTTGGAGTTTTAATCATGCTATGGAGCTAAATAGTTGAACCCACCTCGATATCAATTGGTGGGGAAACTGCACCATGCATGGGGTATTCTAGTGCATGGCTTCTCTATAAATTGAACAGCTATGGAATCTAAATTTCCCAAACAAAGCCAAGACAGTTTAAGATGAAGAGTTTACCTAGTTTTGTCATCCTTATGGACAGCAATAAGCCATATATTGCAATGATTTTTATACAGTTTGTGTATGCTGGCATGGCCTTGTTTTCCAAGGCAGCAATAGCCAAAGGAATGAACCCTTTTGTGTTTGTTGTTTATCGGCAAGCATTTGCCACAGTTGTCTTAGCTCCGTTGGCTTTCTTCATTGAAAGGTTGCTATATAACTACTTTCCATTTCTTAGTATGCTACTGTTCTTTAGCTATATATGAACAATGTCTTTAGTTTTTCTTTGTTGGTGATCTTATATCTATCCTCCAAATTCTGCAGAAAGAAGTCTGCTCCCCTCTCATACAAATTAGTATGGAAGATATTTTTGGTTTCCTTATTTGGGTATGTACTAGGTTCTATTGTTGATTTAGAAGTGCTATGGATCCAAAATTCGTACAATGAAAATTTACTCAGAAAAACCAGTGTGGATCAAGATTCATTCTAGTCATGGACCCCACAATACAAGAGTTGAATCACATTATTATTTTCTGGGTAAATTTATGTATATGAGTTATGGGTCCGTAGCTTTATTCTTGTTTGGACAACCCTTACAACGTTTAATGAGGTTGTTTTTCAGTTTTTTATTTTATTTATTTATTTTTTTTAATGTTTTTGAAGAATATATAACATGTGGAATATGATTATAATATGACAATTATTATAACAAGACCTAGAAAATGTGAAATTTCAGGCTTACCCTGAGTTTAAATCTCTACTATATTGCAATGAACTACACTTCTGCAACATTTGCTGCTGCCACTACAAACACAATTCCTGTCATTACCGTCATGATGGCCATATTATTGAGGTATATTTATATATGTAGTGGAGAAAATAAAATAAAAAATAAAAAAATTGACAAATATATATATATATATATACACAAACATTGTGATTGATAAAGACTTAACTTTTCTGGTATCAGGATGGAAAGCATTACAATAAAGCAATGGCATGGAGTCGCCAAAGTTTTGGGTTCTGTACTAACTGTTTCAGGGGCTTTGGTGTTTGCCTTTGTCAAGGGACCTCCTATAAAGTTCATGAACAATTTCTCGACAAACCCAAGTGAAATTCCAACCCCATCCATCAACCATTGTAATTCGAAAGGGGACTGGGTAAAAGGTTCTCTTATCATGCTCTCTGCCAACACAGCATGGTCCTTGTGGCTTGTTATGCAGGTCCATTTACAATCCATCAATATGCTACGTACTTAAAAACAATAAAAGTATTTAGAATTTAAAATGAGTAGTTCAAATTAATTTCGGGTGGGACCTGCACCCCATATCAAATTGTGAGTATTTTCTCGTTACATAGCATTTCTGTTTAGAATTCTCTCTCTATATCTCTCTCTCCTAAAGCAGTGATCATGTTTTCAGGTTCCTGTAATCAAGCAATATCCAGCAAAACTACGTCTGACAACTCTGCAATGCTTCTTTAGCTGCATACAATCTGCAGTTTGGGCTGTTGCGGTGGAGAGGAATGCGTCAGCATGGAAGCTTCAATGGGATGTTCATCTTCTTTCTGTCGCCTATTGTGTATGTTTCTTAGTCTATATATTATTGTTCTCTCTTTAAAATGCTAGGTGCCCACTAGAAATATCACCACTAATAGCATTAATGCATTTAAAAAGTAAAAAAAAAATGAAAAAAATACAACTCCAAGACCAAAACATCACATCATTAATGGCGGGACCCACTGCCACCTAATTAGTGGGAGCACTAATTAGTGCTCCCAAGCATTTTTCGTGTACAAAAATAAGTAATTACGTTTGGCCCACGCACTCTATGTACTTTTCTTTTTATCAATGAAAGAGAAATTAGTATTAATAACCAGGAAAGAAACAATGGTCCTAAATCCTGCAAATGCTATATATAAATAAACCAACTCCCACACAAAATTAAAGATATTGACAAGATGTCAACCTAATAATTCTGCCCTATAATAAGTCCAGCATTCTGTATTCAAATTCTGTGTATGTGGTATTTCTGTTCTCTTAAACATCCGGTTTTTCTTAGGACATTGGATTTGATGACTTCATTGGTAAAATAATATTATGTGCAAAGGAACAACATTATAAGTTGGCAATTTTTTCATGAAGCTATTCAAATATTACCATGTGGTATGTCCAACATGTCTAGTTGTTTATATTTAGTCTGCAAAATGAATACTTACTATTATACAACTTAAAAGTCTTATTCAAGCCTGTTTATATTCTCATCATGAATTTTGTATAAAAATTCTGTAAAAATAGACTTTCTTTTTCTTTTTTTAATACTTTTGCGGTTTCTATTTCCTCCGAAGTGTTAGGAGTATAATAGTGGAGTCATCGACCCATCCTTGTCGTGCTCATTGTCTAGTGTTTAATCATTTGAGGAATATGCTTATTTAAAATATAAGGAAAAAAATATCATTTGAAGAATTAATATATTGCTCCCATCGCAACAAAAAAATTGACAAGACCCTGTACCTGTGGTCACACACACACATGCACTCGCACTCGCACTCACACATACACACATACCCACGTACCCGTACATGCGTGATGTATACTTGCAAATATTTCCCACTCCATGATGTGTACTCACTTGCAAATATTTCCCACTCCGTTTTAACCAAGTTCTCATGCACTGAGTCATCCTTCTTTTACATGTATATGGAATTTAAAATAAAAATTTCTTGAGTTTGACAATTTATTAATATAAATTGGCAGGGAGTGATTGTCACCGGGATTACGTACTGGTTGCAAGTATGGGCTATAGAGAAGAAAGGCCCAGTATTTACAGCCATGTTCACTCCATTTGCACTCATCATAACAGCAATCTTCTCATCATTCCTGTGGAAGGAGGTTCTTCACGTGGGAAGGTCCATATGCTTCCTTATCTATACTCTCCATGTGCTACACGCATATATATGATCATTTCTAAACAATGATTTTAAGGGTTTTTATTTATTTTTATTTTTTGGTTGTTGAATTTGTGGCAGTGTTTGTGGGGCCATATTGCTGGTGGGAGGTCTGTATGGGGTTCTGTGGGGGAAGAACAAAGAAGGAAAAGGGGAAACAAATGAACAAAAAGCAGAATCCAAAGAGGAAGTAGTGTTGGAGAGCATTTCAACACATCAGTGACTCATGATGGGCATATATGCAAATATAGCTTTCAGTGAGGATATGTTCCCAACAAATTAGGTTGTGCCTAATAGCATATCTTTACTAGCTAGCTAGGGGAATCATTCCTAACTTGGAACAGTATAGCTTGTACAATTCTCAAGTGTTTTGTTTTGTTTTGTTTTAGGGTATTGCTACATCCCCTAAAAATACCCCTTTAATCCCCATAATTTCCATATCAAGTTAAAAAAAAAAGAAAAGAAAAAAGTTGTCCAAATTGGAAATTAGGGGGATTAGGGGGTATTTTTAAGGCTCTAAATCATTTTCCTTATATTTTATCTTAAAATATTATTAACAAATTTATTTTTTATTTTAGGAATCATTTTTTTTTATCTATTTTCTTCAATAAATTCTCTATTCTTTCTTTATTTTATTAACAAATTCTCTTCCTTTTGTTTTGTGGTCTTGAATTAGATTATTGGTGAGGGTTAAAAGTAAAATTTTGATTTTCAACCTATTTTGGATTATATCATCTTTTTACTTTTTTATAATTTTTTTTAAAAGTCAAAGAAAACAAAAAAGTTATCTTTTAACTAACTTTTCAAAATAACCTTTAATATTTTATGTTGTTGTTCACATTATTATAAATCAGTAACATCGCATTTGCTTTGACATTCTCTTCCTTCTGTTTTGTCATTGTGAATTAAACTACAATAAAAGAACTTGTGTTTTACATTTCGGTTCATATTACTATACATTAGAGGTGATAAATGAATCAAACAGGTTGAGCTTGACTCGTATTCGACTTATTAAAAGCTCGTTTGAGCTCAGTTCGTTAAATAAATAAATTAAGTTTGAACATATTTTAGACCTCGTTATGGTTTTCAAACTAAGCTTGATCAGTCAATTGCTTGTTCGGTTTGGTTTAATAAACTTAAAATTATATAAAATATCAAACTGTTTAAGTTTGGCTCGAAAAAAGTTCGTTTGAGATCGGTTTGAAAGTTTAACGAATCAAGTTTAAATAAATTTTGAAACTTGTTAAAGTTATCAAACTAAACTTGAATAATTAACTGTTCAACTTATTCGATTCGTTTACCGTTTCATTTATCACCGTCACTAGAAATCAATAACGTCGTGACCACATATGGTACCCAGATGTGGTCAATCTATAACTTGGATGCTAGGCTTTGTGGAAAGCTTAGGATTCGGTACAATAAATTGAAATTGAGTTAATAAATCATTTTGAGTAGGGATGGTCATGGATCGAATTTGGGATGTGTTTGTAATAATCCACCTCTGTCTTGTATTATATCAAGGGCGGGAAAAATTGGGGGTGGTAGTGACTGGGCGAGAGGTGAGTAAATTTTATAAGTTAAAGAATGAAAATATTAATAAAAATTACAAAAAATATAATATATTATGAAGAATAATTTATACTTAATAGAATTATAAGATATAAGATAAAAAAAATGAATAAAAATTAATGTTAAGTATAACATTTTAGTGTTTTAATTTTATTATAGTGAAAAAAAAAAAAAATTATATATAAATAAATATATTTAATAAATATAATTGGAAGGGATCCCGTACCTAGGGATGGCAAAATGCCTTGATCTGCTGAGCCCCCGGCTTCACCCGACCCTAATGGGCTGGGTTTGAGAGTGATTGAATAGGATAGGATCAGATTTGGGGAAACTTTTAAAAAATAAAATTGGGTTCGGGTCAGGGGTGGGATAGAGTAATTTTTTTTACCCGACCCGACCCGCAAATATAGTAATAAATAAATAATAATATTGCATATATATGTAATGTGTACAAAATATTGTTGAATTTTTATAGAATATATATATATATATAATATCTATTGAATTTTTATTATGTTATATACAATATAATTTTAATATATATTGTTTTTTAAATTATAAATAGCATTTTCTATTTTTAATTATTAAATTTTGATATTATTGTTAAATTTCTTATTGTGTTGCGGATCGAGTAGGGTTGGGGGTGGGGATTATATTTGCGGGTTTGGATAGGGGTGTTGGATTTATTTTTCTAGTGTGGCCCAATAGCCTACATATTTTCTACATGTTTTTAAAGCGGCAGAAATGGGGATAAGAGTGAGGTAGAGACCCTCCCCTCATAACCTAACCTACTTATTACCATCCTTATATGTCCCACTTCCTTAATGGGACGGAAAAAATTCGAACGGGTCAAGACTGAGAAGGCAGAGATGGGGTAGAGTAAGAGAAAATGACCATCTAATTTTGAGAGGGTCTCTCCACCCTTTAGGGAGAGGAATCTCTACATTGTCACCATAGAAATCCCGTTATTCGGTACCAATTTTCCTTACTGTGGAGCAAGAAAACAACCACCTACACAAGGGCCTCATTGAAGATTGCAAATTTCTCCTTGAAAGGCTCAATTTGTTGTTTGACTCATTCAAGGAGGAGAAGTTATTCCATGGCCTTGGGGTAAGTCGATGTAGTGCTCCAAATTAACTTTCATTAGCTAAAGCAATAGGTTACACTGATTTTTTTTTTGGGATTGTAGGAGACAACAGATATTTGTCAATTTTTAAATGGTACCGAGCAATGGTCTTGGACGTGAAATAATTTTCTTGATGAGAGGGGATTTTTTTGTAGCAGGAGGGAGTTAGAAAAATATATTAAAAAATATTATAGCCAATTTCATCAAATTTCTGTGATTGGTATATAACCGTCATCAATAAGGTTGTGATTTTGTTGTTTAATGAAGGATGAAAAAATCAAAGGTTCAAGTATGTTTGGTTATATTTTCATTTTCGGTTTTCATTGTTTTTAAATATAAAAAATTTGTTTGGTGAATTATTTCTGAAAATTGTTCTCATTATTTTTGAAATTTTCAAAATTGCTTCTCCACAAAAAATATAACAATTTTGAAAATGATGAGTGTTTTTTGAATTTAATTGTTTATGTTTTCAAAAATAAGGACAATGAAAATGGAGAAAATGAATAACAACCAAGTAGGCCACCCTTTCATTTAGTCAAATATGAAAAGAGGTTTAATTTCAGGCAAGTATTTGTAATGGGCCCATGAAATTCCTAAAAAGACAAGTTGGGCTGGGAGCCATGTCCAAGTTACTTGTTCAGCTTAGTAAAGTTAGGATCATTAATTTTGTTAGCATAAATCTTTTTTTTTGGTTGAGTTTTCTAAACTTTAAAAAAAAAAAAATTCAAAAATTAGTTTAGTGAAGAAAATAAATTAAAAATAAAAAATTCTCATTATTTTTAATATTTTCTCTAAAAATGCAAAAAAAAAAAAAAGAAAAAAGTGTTTGACAAACAGGACAAGGTAACAATTTAATCAATTTGAATTGAAAATTTTAAAGTAAGATGGTAAGAAAACTCCTTGTGAGTCTCTTACATAGATTGGATTTTACTCGTAAATGTGAAGAAAATTTCAAATCAAATTCTTATTCCTCTCCATTATGGTCATGTTGGCCTCTTACATTGGATTGGATTTTCTTTCATTTTGAGACTAAGCTGTCGAAGAAAAAAAAAGAGTAATGTTAAAAATTTTATCAAATTTTTTACCAAATATCTCATATGTGTGTAAAAAAAAAGAGTAAAATTTGGTAAAACTTTTAAAATTTTTAACATTTTTCAAAAAAAAAAAAAATGAGTGAAGTTTTTGTTAATTAAAAAAAAGAAAAAAGAAGGTTAATTAGCAGAGTGCCTGGGAAGTGTGGACCAGCAGTTGGCCAAACATCTACCAAGAAAAAGCTTTAAAAGCAAAAGCTCTAATGGTTGCATGATTCCAAACAAAGATGTATGATGATGACTCAAAAGTTTGGACATATTGAGTGGGGATAAAAAAAAAAATGAAGTCCAATAAAGTGAGTGGAAAAGAAAGTATCGTAAATAGTCTCACCTTTAGTTATTGTTCACTTTGCACCCTTTTATTTTACATCAATTTCATTTTAGTATTTTGTTTTTCAATTATAACACTTAATCTTTTACATTTATAGTTAAGGCTTTTTTTTTTCTTCTTTTTTTTTTGGAATTAAGTTACAATATGACCTTTTGTAAAAAATGTCCGTTTGGTTTAGTTTTTGAAAAGAATTTTACGTTTTAACTTGTATTTTGAAAGATAAATTATTGAAAATAATTTGGGGATGATTTGAATTTTTTTTGTTGTTGTAATTGAATAGATGGGGGTGTGAGAGAAAATTTGATTAATTGATATGTAGAATGCGAGAGAATGAAAGAGGAGAGAGGAGAGAGGAGAGAGGAGAGAGGAGAGATGAGAGAGGAGAGAGAAAAATTGATAGATTGATTTATTCAAAAGTAGACGGGTAAATTATATAAATGGTCCCTGTAGTTTACATGATGTGTCAATTTAGTTTCTGTTGTTTTAATTTGCTCAATGTTGCCCCTTAATTTAACAGATTGTGTCATTTTAGTCCAATAAACAACGATTATTAAGTTTGGGGGACGGAAAGTCTACATAATGTGTCAATTTGGTTCTTATAGTTTACATAATGTGTCAATTTGGTCTCTATTATTCTAATTTGCTCGATTTTGACAAGGATCAAATTGACACACTATGTAAACTATAAAGACCAAATTGACACATAGTTTGACTTTCCGTCCATCAAATTTAACAATTGTTATTTATTGGACTAAAATGACACAATTCGTTAAATTAAGGGGCAAAATCGAGCAAATTGAAACAAGATGGACCACATTGACACATCGTGTAAATTACAGGGATTATTTGTATAATTTACCCTAGGTAAAAAAAAAAAGAGGAGAGAGAAGAGAATAGTTTTGAAAATTGATTAACCAAACATGTCTTTAGATTTTTTGATCCAAATGTTAATTTGAAAACTAAACCAAACGTAGTGGTAATTTTTTTTTCCTTCTTTTCCTTCTATATTTTTTCTTCATATCTACTGTATTTTCTAAACTTATTATCACAGCAACCATCCTTTCTCTACTTCTCTTCCACTCTTTTCTTGAGGCCCTCACCCAAGGTTTTGAAAAGCGGTTGCGGTTGTCGTAATTGTGGCGGTGGCGCGGTTGCGGTTGTGGAGGTGTAAGGTGTAACATAACGGTTGCGGTAATTGGAACCATGGATCTTTTTATTTTTTGTACAATTTGAAAAAAACTCATCAATACGTATATTTTGTGTGTGTCCAGAATCATATTTGTCACGACTCGAACTCGTACCTATAGGCTTAGGTCATGACCGGTCAGTAATTCTGGATTACCTT